CTAGGTCAGACAAGGCTTCCTGTGGCCGATTGCCTCCAACCATCTACTATCATCTAAGTTTATCTCTATATTTAAGTTAATGCATTACTTATAATTACCTTGAACAGTTCACAGTGCTCTTAAGCGAAATCATAGATAACTCATCGACACTATAATCAGAAATGTACTCAATTAGGTAGAGTAAAATCTGACAAAGACAGTATTATTATTCGTTCCTTGGGTTCTGAGTGGAACGTAAGGATTCAGAAGCACATCTAAGCTGTATTTATACATACATATCTATATGTGCAATACAGCCTTAATACAGACAATATGTGGGCACGGTACAGAGAATTTCAGAATGTTTCCTTTTCATATTGGATTTACATGTATAGTAATCCTCAGTTCTCTACTGTCCCTTTCAATTGGCTTCACAACTGCCAGCAAACCTTCACTTTCTCATCACGTGTTCTTCTCCATGTCACCATCTTTCACCCACTGAACGACGTGGCATATGATGTTACTCAACGATCTCCGCATTGAATGTCCAATCCATCTCTGTTTCCTCTTGCACACTTTTGCGGCTCTAGGTTCTTGGCTGGTTTACTGCTTGTCAGAGTTTCTTGTAACCTGTGTTTTAATCCACTGTGGAGTGTAGGCGGGTTTCCTAAATTAGCCTGATGAGATATGCTTTAGGTGACGCGTGCGAGTGAAATCACTGTTGAACATTGAGATCCTGTTCGTTGTGTCAAGCATTGTAGACTTATTCAATGATTTACCAACGTTTCTTCTATACCATATCTTCTGAATTCCTCTCCAATCTACGCATCATGTCAACCTCAGATATTGCGAGGACACTGTATATTCCCACGCTAAACTTTCGTTACATCAGAAGGAAACACATCCGTCAGCTGGCTTTCCAAACCTTTTCATACATTGGATTCATCCTTTGTCTCTAAATCCAGGTGAGTGTTAGTTTTGAGTGCCTTGAAGTTTTTTAAAGTACCAGTTGGGTTGCCTTTTGACATGGTAGGTTCACTAGCCATATACACAAGCTTCTCTAATTTTAAGGGGTTTCGAATTGGCTAGTAAGCTAGACAACGTTCCCAACAATAGTGTGATTTAAAGAGTCATGAAGACACTATCAGAGTGAAATTAAAAATAAACCAGTGACAAAAATACTGAGGCCATCAAAAATACTGGCCTTTCACATACTATTTCAGGACAAAATAAATGTTTTTCCTTGACCGGTGGATTAATTTTTCTATATATTAAACGATCCCAAACATGTATTCCCTGGTCACTAAGTACACATCGCGTGTTCAGCGGTAGAATTCTCTCCAATCACTTACGTGATTCTGGTTCAACTCGAGTCAAGAGCACTCTTCAACACGACCTGATTTACCCATTTATCGTAAGTCTAGCAGGGAGGAAAGGTTGAAGTGAGGCTAGAAAAAGCAAAAAACCACTGTGAATAGAACTTCAAATGCTTGGAGTCCTATATTTCCCCTCAGAAGCCAAGGAAGGAACGAAACTACGCCTACCTACCTATGCTTTCCACTTAAAATAATGCTATGGTCAGATATGAATTTATATATATATACTGAGCGAAGTTAACAAATATTCTCTATTCGCTTGATATGATACAGTAAAAATTTTCACATTCTTTGATAGATACTTTCATCGAAATTTACATGGATTCCAGATTATTTCTTTTTTAATACAGATGAAATTACGTCATCTATTATTTGTTGTGTAACGAACGCGTAAATGCAATGAATGTTCTTGTTTATATTCTGATTATTTTGTTTATAAAATTAGATTTTTCTTCCTCTCTGTCATGTAGTCACACTTATCTCTGTGATTCTCGATAATCTTATCAACCATAGGCTCAATGATTGTTTACTAGAAGAAGAGAAATACAACACTAGTTAGAGTAAACAATTAAATTTAAGTTAAGTTTCAAAGTGTATCAATATTCGCTGAATGTAAATCTTTCACGGAAAACATTGTTGGATAATAAAAGTATCATTGTACATTGGACACTTTATAAATCAGAGCAGAATATATATATATATATATATTCTCTAGATATACTAATATTTACACACTTATTACAATAAGGTGGAGAGTTAAGCAAATAAGAATACAAGATACAGTAATCCTCAATAAATTTTTCAAAAAAAAGATTCTGAAAAACTTGGAAATTATGAATCAGTAGTTAAAATCAAAATTCTTAGATCCCGACGATTGAAAAATCCAAAGTATACATCAAATTGTGGTGAGAGCAGGCTACTAGCCAATTATAATAGAAAAAAATTTTCCTTCATGTTCCCAGTAGAACATAGGGCCTCAAGCTAGTGGCTTGAAGTTTCTGTAGCAGTTTTTATTTTACTGGATGGGGTTGCTAGCCTCATGCCCAACCTTTCCTTTTTACCACGATTATTTTGGCTTAGAGAGGTGAAGGAGTGCGTCGGTGGCCGACGATCGAACCTCGAACAATGTGCATGGTCGGCGAGCATGCTAACCGCTGCGTTACACATGATTTTAGCTCAGAGAGCCGAGAAGCGATCAGCCAATTGGTAGACATTAATTTACGTCAATGTCTAGGTCACTAACATTGGCCGTGAGAAAATATGAACAAGGCTGATTCAACAACCAATCACAGCAGACTTAATGTGGGCAAATAAGATTATCAGATATATGGCCTAATTTTCCGAGAAACCAGAAACAACCAATCAGAAGACTGTGTTTGTCTCCTTGAATAAGCCATAATAATGTACATGAGATATATATATATAAATACTTGCTGATTTCCGTAATAAAACGTTCTGTTGCCGGCCCCTGTCTTCTGTTGTTATATACTTGAATACACTATTAAAGTCCACTACTACAAATTATTTATAAGCATTTTCAAAAATGTAAGATCAAAATTAGGAAAAAACGCATTACGGCCCTTGCCATCTGTTGTTACGAAATTACTTTCATGTTATCACAAAATATGAGTGATTTCGCTGACATTCCATAGTAAACAACCAAATCAAAAGCAAAGTGGTGATCTCAAATGGTTGACTATGAGAAAAGCAAATCGTTGAGTTTGCTCAAATATCAGAGGGAAAAGTATTAACTGTTTTGTTCTCTGGCAAAAAACGTCAAATCACCTGAAAGACAATGCTTAATTCTGAGTACTGTTAACCTCTTTTAACAGGATATATGCAAGTGAAAAGCAACAAGCTGGTAGAAGAAGCATCAAAGATAGGACTTCTGTCAGGTGAACATAGATAAAACAGAGGTGATGAAGATTCTTGGCCAACACCAACAGCAACAACAACAACAACAACAGACAACAATCAGACAGTATAAATGGGAGGAACCTGAAAGAAACAACCTCCTTCACCTACCCACGCACCTGGGAAGCATCGTCTCAACTACAGGCGGATGGAACTGACGAGGATATCAAACCAAGAATCGGAAAAGCAAGACAACCAAGCTTTCATTACTCTTAAGTCTGTGTGGAGGCCAACAGCACTCACCATCAAAAATAAGATCCAGATTTTCAACTCCAATGTGAAGTCAGTGCCACTATGTGGATCAGAGACTTGGCCAGCGCGTCATAAAGAGCATCTCAAACAAAATTCACACCTTCATTAACAGTTGTCTTCGCTCAATACTCAAGATCAGACGCCGGCCAGAAAAGATCAGAAACAGGGATCTGTAGGAGCAAACCAACCAGGAACCGATTGCGAAACAAATAGGCGGGAAGAAATGGAGATGGATTGGCCATACTCTGAGGAAACCATAAAGTGACATCACTAGACAAGCCATTGCTCGAGTGGAACCCGACAGAATGGGAAGCGGCGAGTTTGTCGTCAGTGCGAGGTTTGGGTGACTTGGAGGAGTTCGTGTGAGGAGGAGATGAAAGCGTGTTTGGAGACTTGGAGCGGGGTGAAAAAGTTGGCAGGAAACAGAAGGCCATGGAGACGCGCAGCTGAAGCTCTATGTTCCTCAAGGAATTAAAGGATATAATAATAATAATAGGATATATATATATATTTCAGTACAACTATCACAGAGATTCCTGATTCCCTCCCACCCCAACTGAATTAAAAGAAGCCATGGACTTTCTTTCACGTATCTCCACGCTGATAATATAGCTTTTAAAAAGTGATCACTATGCATGCTTTGTAGCTCGTTGACAATTCAGGTAATCGCTGCAAATAAATCATTAGGCTTGGAGTTAGTACTAAAGCTGTGTTTGAGTTGACTACTAATCTGGCTTCACTGACTTATTGTAACAAAAAATATACGGGACGCTTTTTTGACTATTTCAGCTAGGATAAAATGTTTATTGTGTAGACTTGATTTATATGAACCAAGAATGATGATTAAAGGCAGCAGACAGATAGATCATTATCAAATCTGTAATATATGTATATAACAACATAATTAAAAATAAAGTGAGAGAGTATAAGATCTTACAAAAGGCATTGCAAAGGAACAATTCAATGCTGATAATTATAAAAAAAAGGAGAAAATTAACGATGGCATATAAAACGAAGAAAACATTTTTTTTAAACTTCCCGCCCCAACCCTACGGCACCCCACAAAAACAAACTACACTCCTTCAAAAAGGGATGAAGTCAACATAAAAAGTAAATTGAATTTTGCTTTGAATAGAGGGAATTTCAAAATCACGCAAAAGTTGACAAAAAGCATTTCTGGGCGGCTTTCGAAACAACGTTTTAGAAATATGATTTATACAAATTGGTGCGCTATGTGTGGAATGTTGAAAAGTTAACACGCAAAACAAAAAGAATCAGTTTTAATGAATACAAACAAGAAAATCAAAAAAGACAACAAAAAAAGAAAAACGCGGTACTCATGGAATGATGTAGTTTTTGTTCTGTTAAAGAAAACAAAATCAAAAAACATTTACATATGAATATTTAATAATATTTCTCAGCCAATGATTTTCTGTTGTTTGTTTTTTCTGGTCTTTTGAAAACACATCCAGCCAGGTATTATGCACTAGAGTTTTGACAGATTCTAGAATGAACACATAGAAGATCGCGTAGATACTAGAGAATAAAGATTTTTAAAAAAAACACAATAGTATGCATGCATTTCATGATGGATTGGATGTGATAATTAAGAAAAAAACAACTAAATGTTATCACAGATTGTGATAGCTGATGCTTATTTATGTTTTTAAATCTAAACTAGATGTACAAAACACATCTAATTTAATGACGAAACAGCTCTTGATACTTTGTTTACATTAAACACAACTTGAGTCTGTAAACAAATCAACGTGTTTGAAACGTTTATGAACACACTCACACACACATATGTGTCTGACTTCACGAATATAAACATATCACAAATGATTACACGATTTCATCATGAGCTGATATAAGTTAGAGAACCTTTGGAATAGCTGCCAGGGAAACCACCTTACGCAGAATTCCTAACAAGTCAGGAATAAAAGTGGCTGCCATTCAAACCACCCACAAATTCAATTAGAAACAAGCTTTGTAGGTTAAAGAATCCTGATAGTGGAGCCAATAAAACAAAACAATTAAGTTTATCTATTACCGTGCCTGCAATGATTGTAAGGTCAAACCATTAGGTCAAAGTAATAGAACAGGCACATTCAGAGTAGCCGAGCATAAAACCCTAGTAAAATCTAGATTAGTTGGCCCGAATAAGATATGAAATCAAGAGAATAGTCCAGCTGTACCACTCCCTGTGTGGGCACAATTACTGTACAATTGCATGGAGGATTTCACCATGAGCTGACATCAGTTAGAGAACCACTGGAAAACCCGGGAGTACTGGACAGCTGTTTCGTCATCCTAGTCTGGGACTCTTCAGCGGTACGCACCCGCCGGGTTTTCCAGTGGTTCTCTAACAGATGTCAGCTCACGGTGAAATCCTCCATGCAATCAAACAAAATCCCAACAAAACCAGTACTTGAAAATTAATCAGATGCTCACTAGTGACTTGCCCTACTCAGGTAGTTAACCTGGGGTTCTATTGGGAATCCGTGACCAATAGGGTACAGCAGGTTGAAGATGAAGCAGTAACTCATCGAAGAAGACATTCCAAAGTGGCAGAAGTTAGAATTCAAGGACCACTGGATCGGGTCTCAGTAGCTCAGCGGTCTACGAGCTAGCTCGCCTTGTGACCAGATGGTCCTGGGTTCGAGCCCTGGTGGTGGGTGCGTACTTCTGAAGAGTCCCAAACTAGGCTGACGAAACGGCTGTCCAGTACTCCCAGGTTTTCCAGTGGTTCTCTAACTGATGTCAGCTCATCATGAAATCCTCCATGCAATCAAACAAACTCCCTACAAAACTAATACAACTGTATAAGCAAAGTTAGATTTAAAACAGTTCAAGGCAGGCGTTTTGTAAGTATACTGGTTTGTTGTATGATAGTTTCCAAATGTTTAGAAAATCTAAGGAAAACATGTACATTTAGCCATTGAAATCAGAAGAACCATAGTTTGTATTTTGATTGGACACTAGGAAATAGTGTTTTATGTGTGTAGTCCTAACTTTGGTGGAGACTAGATTCTATCAATCAGGTTTGCAATGTGGTCAACATTCTATGTAGCTCGCCATCACTGTGCACATCGATTTGATGATAATAGGTGGTTGAAGACAGTGGACCACGGGAAGCCTTATCTGACCTAGGTTGCGTGCCAGTTAGCACTCACCAGTCACCAAGGCGTATCTGCAACTACCTTGAAGGAACTCAAGTTCCTTCTGAGATTCGAACCCACGCGTCACCCAGTGGGGCTGCAGTAAGGGACTTTACCGATGAGCTACTCAGGCTCGCGATTGACTTCATGTAAGACTGTAGTGAATAATTTCATTGGACATTGGTATCCAGTGTGATGTGTCTAGTCCTTGTTTTGGTGCAGACTGAATTCTATCCAACCATCTAATATCATCAAATCAATGTGTACAGTGATGGTGAGCTACCTAAAATGCTGACCACATTCCAAACCTGACTGATAGAATTCAGTCTGCACCAAACACCAAGGACTAGACACATCACGCTGGTTACTAGTGTCCAATCGAAATATCCACTAAAGTTTTACAGGAGGTTAATCTCCAGCCCAAATATCTCAGTGGTAAGGTCTTTGACTGTATCACTGGGCGACGCGTGCATTTGAATCTCAGAAGTGACATGATTTCCTCCAAGGCAATTAAAGATACGCCTTGGTGACTGGTGACTGCGAACTAGCACGAAACTTAGGTCAAGCAAAGCTTCCTTTGGCCGATTCCCTCTAAATATCTAACCAGAGTTTGTTTTCATCAAAATATTCATTCCTCCTAACTAACCTTGTATTCACTCGTTACACCGGTTACCCATATATTTTCATATTAATTTTACGTTCTTCTTTCATCAACACCCAACAGTTTTATAAATATTCCTTTTTACGTATCATATAACCTATAGTTCAAAATGACTAGTCTCCACACACGTAACTGCAATACGATTATTATTTAATAATAATTTGAAATATTGTGGCGATATTATTAACAACATTCCAAACTAAATTAAAATAATAATTACTTTTTATTCACCCTATTTTTGCGTCTGTCTAACAAATTGAATGTAAGTAAGCACACATAGAAAAATAATTCTGCATAAATGCACAAGTGGACAAACAAAGTGAACAAATTCGTCAAAAAAGAGTCTCCTCACTTCACTCCACTTAATCTAAACAAAAATACTATTGAAGAAAAGAAAAATACCAACCAATGTTTACACGTAAATAGTTGTGTAGATGTTGTTGTTTTTTTTCCTCTCAATTAACTTTAGACAAAATATTATTTCTCTGTGATAAGGTGAATATTCCTATCTAGAGTACACTTATTTCCAATAAACATTCGCTATCTAGTTGTTCGGCCTATATAGCTTTCTCCACAGGAGTAACTAAATTTATTATAGATATACATCGACGTGACACAGCTAGGTAGCTTATCTTTCACTTGAGCAATCAAAATTGGTCGGCTGTAAAATGATAAACAGAGGGTGGCGGCAGTATAAGTCCGTTTTATCGCTCTCGATAATCTCTGATGTAAGACTTCACTAGCCACGTCCCCATCCAATTGCAGTTTCATGAACAGTTGTTTCTTTTTAAATGTTGTCAGTTTTTATTTATTGTACCTGGTATTCATGTGTCTCCTTACAAATCTACTAGGATAACCCATTTGGACCAACATATTTTGGATGTATCCTAGCTCATTTTCTAGAGAGTCATCTGCACAGATACGTCTTGCTCTATTCGTAAGGCATCTGACCAAATTGACTATGCATCGGATTGGTACAAAACTTAGCAAATGTGCATATTGTCCTACAGATGTAGGTTTTCTATAGACAGATCTCTTGAGTGAACCATCCGCTCTTCTGCTCAATTGGACGTCAAGGAAATGTAGTCTACCATCATGTTCTTCTTCACAAGTGAAGATGAGCGATGGATGTGCATCATTAAACTTTTTTAACATTTCATTCTTGTCAGCTTTCACATCAAGAATAATAAACGTATCATCTACATAACGAAAATAAGAATCAGCTTTTTCTATTACTTTTTTCAATGGACCATTTCCAATCTTGGCAAGAAAGAAATCCATCGAAATTGGCCCCAATGGAGAACCCATGGCAATACCGTCGATTTGCCTGTAGTAAAGGTTGTTGAATGTGAAGTGTACATTCTTACATTTGTACATCTTAAAAGCAACTCTTTCAGACTACTAATAGGTATTCCGATGTCGATCTATTTTTCTAGTATTTGTTGACATATGAATTCCACAGTCTCCATAAGTGGTGCATTGGTAAACAGTGATGCTACATCGAGGGAAAGCATTTGCTTCCCATTTACATTGATATCATCCACGTTAGCAATAAATTCAAAAACATCTTTAACACTATGACTTACTACCATCTTGTGTAACGGTTGGAGGAGTTCACCTAGCCACTTTGCCACTCCATGGTAGGTAGAGTTTGACATATCCAGGACTGGGCGAAGAGGAAGTCCTGGTTTATGTATTTTGGGTAGACCGTACAGACGTGAAGTATTACTTCCAGTAGGTTTAAGACGGTTATATGCTGCCTCTGAGATTATTCCACTTTTTCTCAGTTCCTTAAGCGTGTTGGTTAACTGCTTTTCAGCCTTTCCGTCCAGATTTATTGGGTTAATAAGGTTTTGGAACTTCGTTTCATCCTTTAGAAGCGAATTCATTTTGTCAACATAATCACACTTATTCATCAATACTACTCCGTCTCCTTTATCAGGTCTACTGACTTTTCGATGCTGTTTAGTCAGTAAACTCTTACTAGAATGACTACTGTTTTTATCCTGTTGACAGCTGTCGACTAGTGACGTTTTGAACCTAGCGACTTCATCGTCTGATGTTGGGGTTAAGTCTTTCGTTTGAAGGAGGAGGTTTTCAAACTGGATGTTGGTATCGAGTTGGTTGACTTTGGTTGGTTATAACCTTGTTCACAAAATCTAGGACCCAATGATAAAGCTTCTAACTGTAATTTATCTAGTGTTACACTTGAAAAATTATGCATGTACTGATAGGGGTCTGAAGAGAATGAAGCGAAATCCTTTTCAGGATTTTGACTGTCTAATGATTTGACAAGTTTCGTTCTCCTTTTCTCTGCTCTGTTTTGGCTAACACTGTCGACATACTCAATGAAATCAAATAATAAATCCTGAGGAAGTTCATCGACTGCAAAAATTTAGTTGCTCCTGTGGAGAAACCTATATAGGCCGAACAACTAGACAGCTTAACAAACGCATTAATGAGCATCTTTCTTCATGGTTCGGAAAAGGTCAAATAAAATTCACTATCGAACATTTTGTGCTATCTGCTGTTGGAAGTGATGTCCAGTGAATAAATCCTTCAACTCTTAAAGTGGTATACAGCTGAATGTAAGTAATATGAATAAACTCTAAGAGTATCTTTTGGATAATATAGTGTACTGAATGGTTAATTTACTTTAGTGACTGCTTGTTTGGTTTCTAAGGATTCGATTTGTTTATATGAGATTGACCACGGATTGATATCACAGTTAGAGAACCATTGAAAACCAGCACTGGAGTACTGGACAGCTGCTGTTTCATCCTAGTGCTTGGGAATCCTCGGCAGTACCTAACCACCGCTAGGGTTCGAAACCAGGACTTTCCAGTTACAAGGTGAGCTGGCTTATATACCATTCAGCTACTGGAACCCCAGTGGGTGCGTACTGCTGATGATCCTCAAACTGGAATGAAACAGCTGTCCAGTATTCCAGTGCTGGTTTTCCCTGCTTCTCTAACTGATATCAATCTGTGGTCAAACTCGTTTAGTGATTACGTTTATCAAATGATCAAAATCTGCACAGATGTTTGTAAAAGCCTTACACATCACAGATGCTAAATAGAACTTAAAAACTTATGTTATTACAAAACTTACTAAACCTAAAGACTTTTGAACTATGAGACCCTAGTAAACTTGAAAACTATACAAATCAAAGGTCTGACTGATGAAACCATTGGTTAAAAATCAAACAATCAACCCAGAATTTCACCAGATTGTTAGATACTTCTCTAAAGGGAATATTTCGTTTATAATATATTTTGTTTCTGAAATATAAGACAAATCTCCATCATACATATCAATTTTTCACTAACCCTCGGGGTAAAAACTGTATGTTCAATCACTATGCAGTGTTTGAGTTTTACTAACGAGTCAACCAGTCAAAACAGAGAAGACTGGAGATGAGGTTAGCTAAATCCAACCATATTTATTGAAAATTTTAAAAACTTGAATCCTATTTCCCACTTGAAACTCAAAGTATAAATCATATTACCACTGGTTTTACTTTGTCATTCGCCTCCTGTCTCTGAATGTTACAAAGTGGACACATTTTACACAACAACACTTTAGCCAAATTCACATATCACTTGAACAATTTTACAGTATGTTATTACTGTATACCCTAAAGAAACGGATAAATATAAAACATATTTTAGGTGTAATTAGGCATAAAAATCCTTAACGACGTAATGATTAGCTAGAGGCGTAAACTAGCAGTCAGAGTAAGACCGGCATATCACATTAAAACAAAAAAACAACAACAACAACAACAAGAACTGTGGCTACTTAGTTTGAGTAGATCAACAAAAACCTGCTGGTAGAAGAAGAATACACTGAGCAGCAATATTTAAAAAATAATCGATAGAAAATGCATTAACACTTTATCTGTTTTCTTCTCACTTTGAAGTATTTTCTTTATACAGATGACAATAATGATAATTTTATTTTCCCTCTCTTTTCTAATTTCTTCTAAGTAGGATTGTATACTCGGAACAGATTTTTCATGTGCCAGGTTGAGCTACCATTTCTATGACATTGATCGATTGAGACGAATAGCGTTACATTTTGCTTATATGCATAAAACTCTCATTTCTTTGTTGTATCTCACCATGAAGTTCTGGAATTTATTGCAATCCGTTTACTTTCGAACACTAAACTTTTGGATATAATATCATTGACTACTAATACGTATAACAAAGTTTTTGACATTTTGTGACTTTTTAACACTAACACATATCTATAATTGTATATATTGTTGGATTTATATGTTCAAGTTGGCCCAAGTCTGTGAGTCTATGGTTTTGGTATCATTTTAGTTAACTGTGCCTAACTGTATTGCATGTTGATGTATTGTATTGTTGTTGTCGCATTTTGCCCTTTTTGCTGTGAATTATTTTCATTTTGCTGGTGTTGTTCTGACCGTTTTATCCGTTGTTTTTCTACTTTAAGGGGAGCAGCCCACAAGGTCGCTTCTCTAAACTTTATCTTAATGTAACAATTCCTTTCTCAGGCGTAAGGCTAGCAACCTCACCCTGTAAACAAAGTTGCTACAGAAACTTCAGCACGATCAAGATATGCAAGTGAAAAGCAACAAGCTGGCAGAAGAAGCATCAAAGATAGGACTTCTGTCAGGTGAACATAGATAAAACAGAGGTGATGAAGATTCTTGGCCAACACCAACAGCAACAACAACAACAGACAACAGACAACAATGAGACTGTATAAATGAGAGGAACCTGAAAGAAACAACCTCCTTCACCTACCCACGCACCTGGGAAGCATCGTCTCAACTACAGGCGGATGGAACTGACGAGGATATCAAAGCCAGAATCGGGAAAGCAAGACAACCAAGCTTTCAGTACTCTTAAGTCTGTGTGGAGGCCAACAGCACTCACCATCGAAAATAAGATCCAGATTTTCAACTCCAATGTGAAGTCAGTGCCACTATGTGGATCAGAGACTTGGCCAGCGCGTCATAAAGAGCATCTCAAACAAAATTCACACCTTCATTAACAGTTGTCTTCGCTCAATACTCAAGATCAGACGGCCGGCCAGAAAAGATCAGAAACAGGGATCTGTAGGAGCAAACCAACCAGGAACTGATTGCGAAACAAATAGGTGGGAGGAAATGGAGATGGATTGGCTATACTCTGAGGAAACCATCAAGTAACATCACACGACAGGCCATTGCTCGAGTGGAACCCGAACGGGAAGCGGCAAGTTTGTCGTCAGTGCGAGAATGACTTGGAGGAGTTCGTGTGAGGAAGAGATGAAAGCATGTGGGTAGACTTGGAGCCAAGTAAAAACTCTATCAGAGAACCGAAGGCAATGGAGACGCGCAGTTGAAGCCCTATGTTCCTCAAGGAATTAAAGGATATAATAATAATAATAATAATATAATAATGAGGATTACATACAGTGTATGGCGGAATCGATAGGGGAGAAGATTTCATTGTTTGAACGTTACTGCTTATTTTGTGCATAAATATAATAACAGCTGTAATTAAGCAACATTTATCAACATGCATTGTTTTATTTTTTGCTGATTCAGACATATACTACTTTTAACGATGTTTATAAAAAGAAATTAGATTTCAGTGCACTAAGGGAAATTCCTTTTTCGGCGATTAAAACAAGAAGATAAAACTAAGAAAGGTGTACGAAACGAGTGAAATTCATTCAAGAAATAATAATAAACTAGTACAAGATATAGACTACGAGCGTAGTTCGAGTTCGATTCCAAGCTGAGGCTCTCGGAAACCCCGATTAGCCACTAGTTATTCCGGCGGAGAAAGAGGAGGTTAGGCCTGAGGATACCTATACCATTCAGCAAAACACATAAAACATCGTCACTACTGAAACTATAATGCTTATTTTCGATTGACTACTAGTCAGTAACTGGAGTAATGTGTCTAGTCCCACCTTCGGTGCATACTTAATTCTATCAGTCAAGCTGGCAATGTGATCACCATTCTAGGTGGCTCAACATTACGGTGCACTGTGAAATGTTTGTATTAGATGGCTGGAGGTGATAGGTCACAGGAAGCCTTGCCTGACCTTAGTTTCGTGCTAGTTGGCACTCACCAGTCACCAAGGAACTCATGTCCTTTCTGAGATTCGAACTCACTTCACTCAGTAATGCAGTCAGAGACGTTACCATTGAGCCGATTGCCTCCAACAATCTAGTACCAACATTTCACAGTGCAGTGTAATGGCGAACCACCTGGAATGGTGACCACATTGCAAGCTTGACTGATAGAATTCCGTCTCCACCGAAGATAGGACTAGACACATTACACTAGTTACTGACTAGCGTGCAATCGGAAATATCCAATACAGTCCTGCAGGAGGTCAATCGCGAGCCTGAATAGCCCAGTGGTTACGTCTCTGACTGTAGCACTGGGCGAAGTTTGGGTTCGAATCTCAGAAAGGACATGATTTCCTTTGAGGGTGTAGATAAGCCTCGCTGATGAGTGCCAACTGGCACGAATCCTAGTTTAGCCAAAGCTTCCTGTGGCCGATTGCCTTCAACCACCTAATACTATAAAGCTTAACCTTAAAGTCTTGGAACGCAAAGCAACGAAGAAGAAGAAATGAGTGATTGAGTTCAAGTAAATACAAATTCTAGTCACGCAAACAATCACTTCAAATTTAAGCTGCATGTAAACTTAGCAACAGAAAAAAAAGAAGCTCTGATCAATAACACAAACGCTACCGACTTACCTTTATAACAAAGGCTGATCCATTTTTCGTTATTTCTTGAGGCATCTGCCTTAGGTTACAACCATCAATACTGAGATATCTAAGGTTAGGTAGTATTCCTAATTCAATAGGAAGTAAATCTAACGGTTTATTATTTGCCAGGTAGAGATGCGTCAGATTTTTCAGTTTACCTGAAATTTTTTTTAGGAGTATTGTTACTATTCTTATTATATAAAAATAAACTTAGTATAATATAGGTAACAAAAGGTGCATATCGCAGAAGACAAAGTAATACAGTGTATGGAAAAGAGGTAGAATGACGACACAAAAAGATAAGCAAAACAGACAAACCCACAAAACAATAGCATTTAAGAGACATCCATCGTTCCATGTTCCTTTTAGAAGGAGACAAAAGGAGGCATTCACAACAAATTCATCATTCAGTACGATTCTCAGCCATATTTGATAAAGTCTCCAGCCACTGGTTCGAATTATTTGTTGAAGCCCGCCCATTGAGCTCTAATACACCAAAAAATGCTAACCTAATACAACTATCATTCATCCTAAGGCACCACACGATGAACTAACCACCCATTCACTATTTCCATTAAGTCCTAGGGTTAGCGACGAAGTCCGTGTCCCAAAATGATCCCCATCATGTGAAAACACACATCACTAAACCACCGAATTACCTACATAACAATATCTCCGGGAGCAAGAAGTTCTACGACGGCAATGATGACTGAACGCGAAGAGATACAGAACATCCTTATCTCGGATAGTTCAGATTTCATAGGCACAGAGCAAAAGTGAGTACACTGAAACGTTGTAAGCTCGAGATCTCATGGCCTACGACTAACGTCACATTGGTGACAGAGGCGGCTTACATTGATGAATACTGCCATAGCTTTCAATATAAGACCAGAGATCTCATCCATCCCGTCTCTGCTGGCACTCACACAACCATCTGGAGACACGAACTTCTCTACTAACTTTCCCGGTTCACCTGCAATCTTAAATGCAAGCAAAGGCTCATGTAAATTTAGCAGCAAAACTTTAAGTTAATGGGTCTAGCTGGTGAAGTGGAACTGTGTCCTCGAAGAGGCATCAGTTACTTACAGGTTGCAGATAAACGTAAGAGATAAGAGATAATTAATTGACTTAAGCACTCAGTTTTTGATCTGGCTCCATCTATTGCAGCCTGGGCTAAGGGGTGGTAGAGTCATGGTAAGCCTTCTTATCCTAGTACAATTTTAAGAAAACTAAAAACAAAAAAGGATGCTTATATGAAACGAAAAGCTCTGACGAGTCTAGATGATTTCGTTTTCTGAGGAAATAATTTCATTTCAAAAAATAAAAATGAAAACACAACTTAAAAATGTTAATAAATATTCAGCTACTTTATAATTTATAAGTAGTGTAAAAACAAAAACAAAATATATTGGCTGGGCACCTATGCCTGAAAAGTATGGGATTTATTTGATCCCGAAGACCATTGTTAAAATTGTACGTGCCTGTGAAACCCTACTAGAGAAACTCTTCTCACTCACCGATTTCTGATGGCAGACGTTGTATAAGATTCTCTCTGAGTTTTAATTTTTTCAGATTGCTGAGATTACTGAAAAAGAGAAGAGGTATTTAGCTTGTATCAGCCAGAATGCAAACAGGTAATAATAGTTTTAAAAAGGCACACCAAGAAAACAATCTGGACGCTCAATTACAGTTTCTACCAGATAATGTTTTCTAGTATACTTATGGGCCATTTTTCTGAATATTTTATGGGGAAAAGTTTAATATAATACTTTGAGAAAGCTAATAGCAGCATTAAATAGCGAAACGTCAGTAAAAAACAATATCGATTTGTTTCTTCACTCATTGGGAAATACAAAACACCTTTATTATAAGGAAAAAGTATAATTTTAACAGACTGTAGTTAATTTACTTTAGTTATGAAGAATTCAACATTCACTGATATTATAAAACAATGAATATATTTGTAGAAGATAACAGTGAAATCTTAAAATTTAAATGAAGGAAAGAATCACGTTACTGAGCAGAAGTACTTTACCCAATGATCTACTTTAAACTGTCCCATAATTAACTTCAAGATGTTTCATCATAGGGAATAAAAAGACAGTTGCAGCGAAGAAAATTTTCTTTTCGACGAAATCATCAACTAGGCTGTACATTCGTGTATTTATAATAACTAGGTGGGAAAGTTCCAGAATAATTTCTGGTCAAGAGTTAAATTAATGAAGTTAGAATTAGGAATTAAAATGCCATAATAAACAGGGGGAGGGGAACGGATAAAACTCAAGCAAAGTAACACCATAATTACTGAGAAGTTTGACATGTTGTGCAATTAGGGGTTAGAAATGTAGAAATGTAGTAAAGGGAGAACGGTAACAGGCATATAGTTCAGTCACAGAACATCTGGTCAATTCAGGACATTCAGCAACATTCGAAAAATCCTTCAAAGTAATATACAAGATTCGATCAAACCTATCAAAGGGAGTCAAATTAAGACATCTGGGCATAGCCGAGGCACTAGCCATCCAAAAGCTCAAACCCACGCTACGTATCCAAAAGAAATACGTTCAACCCTTGTCCCCGCCGTGGCCATCATAAACAGGTAATTTTTTCAATAGTGACTATCCCACTGACTTTCTTATCCAAACTTCCTATTTATTCCTGCTAAGTTTTTCTTAATCCCTATTTACACTACCATATTTTCATATCCGAACTTCCTGTCTATTTTGTTATTTTATTATTTCTACATATTTAATCCCTGATTGCATAAACAATTATTCGTCACATTAGTTATGATCCCACTAGATTTTTTATCCAAACATCCTGTCTATTGTTGTTATTTCTACATTTCACAACATGTCAAACTTCTCAGTAATTATGGTTTTACTTTGCTTGAGTTTTATCCGTTCCCCTCCCCCTGTTTATTATGGCATTTTAATTCCTAATTCTAACTTCACTAATTTAACTCTTGACCAGAAATTATTCTGGAACTTTCCCACCTAGTTATTATAAATACACGAATGTACAGCCTAGTTGATGATTTCGTCGAAAAGAAAATTTTCTTCGCTGCAAGTATCTTTTTATTTAAGATGTTTACCAAACTGTAAATAATCACTGTTGATGAGCTTCAGCAAGTGAATTAGAGTGATCAACATTTCTTAACTAGGTATTCCAAAAACTTATAAGTAACATTTGATAGCATATTGAGCAACAAGACTTATGTAAAGCCAAAGGAAATTTCATTTTATGACTATTGTTGGACAAAATACAAACAGCTGAAAAGACAGAATGGTATTATTCAGCGAACACTGAGGCCTGGGTGACAATGTAGCTGTCTTCTTATTTTTCAGTTAGAAAACAACATACTGTTTTCAGTGTAAAGTGCTCGGCTTCGTTGCTAGTGGAAACTGGTGTGCCTCAAGGCACTATACTCTCCACATTCCTTTTTTCTTTCTTTTTGGATGACCTTCCACCTTCTTCCAAAGCTAACTTCACTAAATATGCCCATGATCTAACTATTTCTGTCCCAGAAGTTTCTGCTTTGGATTGTTCTTATATGAAGTTAACAAATGGTCTCACCCAAATGGTTATAAAACTGAATCCATCCAAGTGTCATGTTGTTGATTTTAGTTTCAGATGCAAAAAAGACCCGCGTGGACTGGTTCAGTCCTCCCATGATTCATGTAATATTGATGCCAATGTGATAGGGAGTAAAGCGAAGATCTCTTATCTCGGTATCAGTTTCTCTTCGAATCTCTGTTGTTCGTCTCATATTCTGTCGATTCCTAAGAAAATTTTTCGTTTGACTCATTACATAAAGAAGTTGAAACTTTCTGGAATAACTCAACCTTTTCTGTAAACAGGGTGTTAGTGGTGTGCTTCTGGCTCAACTACTAACTGACAATAATTGTCAATAGGCAATTCAATTCACTTCTTGCAAACAGTTGGCTAAAGTTATCACGTTTGATGCCAAACATCCGCTTTATTCGCAACTCTCTCCTTTCACCTCTTTGGGTAAGACCATGAAAGATTTCATAAGAATATATGCTCGTACAACAAAATCAACCATACCATATTTAGCAGAGGTGTTTGTGTGTGAAGAGAAAGTCAGGCGTCAGAAAAGAACCTCTAAACCTTTCAAATCAGTAATCTGAACTGCAAGGCATAAGCAAAGATTATTATTATATTCACTGTCTATGATATTATCTATTTATATTTCATTATTTTTCCACCAACACTCTGTTTATAGTGGTTTCATTATTAATATTTTAATTACTAATGTTAAACTGCATGTACATAGGTATAAAAGGAGATAAATTGTTGTAATATGTATGAAAACGCTGAGAATTCCTTTCTGTATAATTATTATTGTTCAAAATGATGTAATTATTGTTATTCTATCTGCATAGAGAATTTCGAAGGCACTCAGTAAGGAAATGAATCGCTTAGGAAGACCACTCCCCAACATCTTTTAAACCAATTGTCTTATATGCGCAATTAGATACCTGCCTTCGATTCAGAAACCCTGAATGAAGACGTTTACTTCGGTGATATTTGTGTACTACACAAAGAATATGCTACCTGGGTAATTTAAGTAGTACTACTTAACCTCTAGGTTGCCAATGAAACTATTCTGCTTTTTAACTAAGTAAAACAATCAAACCTGAAAGAGTTTCTGTAGAACAAAGTAGAAATAATAATATATGTGTAAAAATTGCGCAATGTGGTAGTAAGTAATTTCATATTGATTGGTTTATTAGATGTATCACATAGTCAGTGAAACAGTATTAGTGTTTACTGGATTACAAGGTTTCAAACAAAATCTATTGTTCATAATCATTTCATAATTTTCTTTGTGTTCTCCTATTTGTAGTAGGGGTAGTAGAATTTTCTAGATATCAGGGACAAGTGATGAATCATTCCTATTACATGTATTTGCTATGTATTTGTATTTCCTATGTCAGTAAAAATAGGATTGGTGAAATCTTTAAGTGACAGAGAACAAAAACTAAGTAGTACCAAGGAAAATCTAAGAGAGGAAGTGATACACATAAAAGAAGCCTTGAAACTTAATAATTACCCCGATAAATTAATCAGGGAATATGTAAGGAAATGTATAAATAAAATACATAATAAATAAATAAGTAGTAGCGATAGTGATAATAATAATAATAATAATGACGACACCAACAATAAGGAGTCTAAATCATCAGTAGTAATTCCGTACAAGGAAGGAACCACGGAAACCACCTTACGCAGAATTCCTAACAAGTCAGGAATAAAAGTGGCTGCCATTCAAACCACCCACAAATTCAATTAGAAACAAGCTTTGTAGGTTAAAGAATCCTGATAGTGGAGCCAATAAAACAAAACAATTAAGTTTATCTATTACCGTGCCTGCAATGATTGTCAGGTCAAATACATAGGTCAAAGTAGCAGAACAGGGGCAGTCAGACTAGCCGAGTATAATAACCCAGCTAAATCTAGATTAGTTGACCCGAATAAGATAAGAAATCTAGAGAATAGTTCATGCACTGCATGCAGTTACACACAACCATAAAATAGGATGGGATAGGATGATAGTTTTAAAATCTAATGTAACAGCAGAGTGGAGGGAGAGATTTATGACAGCAGAAGCTTTGTTTATCGAATCAACTGCAAACACGTGTAACAGGAATAATACAGCACCTGTCCCAGATATCTGGGAAATTCTCATACCCCTACGTAGACAAATAGGAGAGAACAAAGAAAACTATAAAACTCAAGTTTCAAAGTCGTGTGATTATAATTAATGAAATGATTATGAACAATAAATTTTGTTTGAAACCTTGTAATTCAGTAAACCCTAATACTGTTTCACTGTGTGATACATTTAATAAACAAACCAATGTGGGAAGTAGAAATATTTTCTGATTCAATCAAGACTCCCCGGGTGGTAAGAATATTATGAAACTGATTTTGCAAATGGGTCAGTCAAATTAGTCTATTCCTTCTTCTCTCTTGTTAGAAAAATGATTTGCCACGGGAATTCGGTACTTGCAATAGCCGTTTGCACATACACCCACAATTTTACATGTTTTATGTGTAGAATTTGTTGTGTTATGGCAGATACGATACTAAGGAAACCAGTTCCCTATTCTATAAAGCAATACAATGGATGTCTTCTATTTGGAAAAGAGTAAGAATGCCTCACTCCCATAAATTATTTTTAAATAATAATTAGCACTGAAATCAGTCGGGATAATAGAACATCTTGCGCATACTGAAGATTCTATCTTGATAACCCCATTCCCTTCAGTTTATCAAGAAGGTGAAAAGCGACCTGTCAAAAATCATTGTATCCGCTTTATCTGTATTGCCGGAGTTTTAGGCACTGTAATAAGGAAGCCGGGGATTTAAATACAGAATAAAAATTTATTCAACCCTTTCGCCTTCAGTGACTTTAATCCATTAACTTAAGAAACTTATACTAAACAAAAAGAGAATTCTCTCCACTTTTGTTGTCCAACGTGATGCTTAAATAACGTCAACTCTTTCTCAAAGTAAGCGGTAGAAAACTTTGCTTCAGAATGGTTCTAGTAGGTCCGCTAACCATCGGTCAATATAATGACTCGAGTAATTCGTTATATTGAGAATAAGTCGAAGAGGTGTGTCTTTCTTGTGTAATTTCAGCACACTGCATAGAGCCAAATAGTTTCAGGGATTTGGATATTTTGGCGTCAATGAGTAATTCAATCTTCAGTTCCCCAGGGATGTTCGTTAGTTTTTGTTCAATCTGATAACTCATATTCTTTTCACTGACCAGTTTTGCAAATTTGAGTTCGTCAGATATGATGGTTGGCATTTAACTACTAAAGTCCTCATGATTCATGTGTACAACTCCCCCACATTAATTAGAGCGTATCAGCATAATCTTTTTATTGTTGGTCAGTCCCCGAAACCGAAAAATGAGTCATTCATTGATGCCGAAATATTCGAATTCTTGAAACGTGGATAAAATTTATCTCGATTCTATAGACTGGTGAAATTCCACCTATTCTCAGCTTGGAGAATTCACCTTATCATAACATTGCCCAATGGTTGGTAGACCTAAGAGAATTATTTATCCTGTCTTATTACGCAACTCTTGATTAATAACTGGTTTTTATTAACACTCCTCAATAATCTTGGCAACTTTATGTTCTTTCTCTTTGTTATGTAAAAGTTCGAAGCTCCAAGCTAGGAGGACTTTAGCTGGAGATTTACAGATAACTTCCTTCCATATAGTTTATTTCTCTTGGTACTGAATGGCACTCGTCAATCATAGCAAAATAATAAAGATTATGAGGGCATATAAAAGACTGAACTATTATACACGACAAATACTGAGAAGCAACTAGAAATTATCCTTTTTTGATAGTGTTCACCATATGTGTGTTTACTGTCAGTGAGCAAAAACTAGAAACACATCAATGGACATCATAATAAGGAGGCCGTATTTGCCATCTAGTGCTTCGGTGGCACAGCGTTTAAGACTCTAGCCGACCACGCCTCATGTAGTCCGGGATTCGATACCCAGCCACCGACACACTCCTCTACCTCAATAAGCCAGTGTGGTGAGAGCAAGCTGCTCATATTCGTTTGGTTTTGGTTGGTCTATAGCGGCTACCGTTGTGCTCAGCAGCTGTCTGGTCACCTTCGCCAGCTCACTAATATCCATCGGCTGCGTTGCGTTAACCAGTTGTAATCGCTGAGAAATGTGGTCTGGGACACTCTCGATGAATTGGGAAGACAGTAACTGCGCTTCTGATTCTTCATCTAAAGTGGGAAGCGCGCGTCGAAGTAGATTAGTCAGTTTCACCGCCAACACTAGCGGGTCTCCATCAGGTCCAAGCTTCATTGACCGGAACTGCTGCATTGCTAGCTGTCTGTCTGTTTCGCTGTCAAACTCGGACACTAGTCGTTCAACCAATTTCTTCCAAGACGCTGTGCCATTTGACCTGTCTACGCTGTCATATGCAGCCTTCGCTCGGCCTCTCAACAGCGTCCCCATGACAACTGCCTTCGCCGCCTGCTCCTTGATACCCACCAGCTCAGCAACGGCCTCGAAGTCACGTAAGAAGCTCCGTATGTCTCCTTCTTCAAACGCAGCTGGCCACGGGATCTTCATCTTTTTGGAGGCAGCGACACCAAATGTAACAACAGAAGACAAGGGCTGGCAACAGATCGTTTTATTACGAAAATCAACACGTATTTATATATATTTTATGTGCATTAATAAGGCTTATGCAAGCAGAAAAAGACAGTCAAGAATGTAATACGGAAGCAGCGCAGTGATGTCGCGAAGTCTCAGATGAAAGAAAGGACGCAGTGCATTACCTTTGCAGTCGGGGACCAAGTGAAGTGTAGAGACAGGAGATATACAGTTGGAGGCGGGCTAGGTTCACGGAAACTCCTTCCAAAGTGGGAAGGACCATACACAATCACAAAAAGACGGGGTCAAGTATATACCATCCGAAGAGGTGATAAACAGAAACGAGTTAACGCCAGTCAGCTCCAAAGATGGGTACAGTGGGACAAGCCGGTCAGTAACAATCCTCAACTAGAGGATGTAGCACCCAGAAGGTCGGAACGTCTGCGCACGAAGCTATTTGACGGGGGGACGAGTGTGGTGAGAGCAAGCTGCTAGCCGATTGGTTGACACTAATCTACGTTAATGTCTAGGTCACTAATATGGGCCGTGAGAAAATATGAACAAGGCTGTTTCAACAACCAATCACAGCAAACTTAAATGTGGACAAATATGATTCGCAGATAGATGGCTCTACTTTCCGAGAAATATCGAAAACAACCAATCATAAGACTGTGTTTGTCTGCTTAACTTCCGAGAAACAACCAATCAGAAGACTGCCTTTTTCTGCTTGCATAAGCCTTATTAATGCACATAAAATATATATAAATACGTGTTGATTTTCGTAATAAAACGATCTGTTGCCAGCCCTTGTCTTCTGTTGTTACACCAGTAGTAAGACTGGTAAAGAGGAAAGGTTGGGCAGTGAGGCTAGCAACCCCATCCTATGAAAAAAGTCACCACGGCTACCGAAACTTCAAGCCTGTAGCTTAAAGCCACCCTGTACGTTCTCCTGGGAACGTGAATGAATAAAAAAACAACATTTACCATCTATGCATAATGTCCAGTTTAGTTGACAAGAGGTTCTGTGTAAAAGAAAAAGTATAAGGGGCGGATATGCAATAACAACAGCATAGGAGTCTTTGTCACAGATCTTGTGTTTGTTGATATTCGTTAGTAAAATTTGTCTCTAAACCTTAGTAACACCTCAAAGTGGGAAAATATGTATCTATCAGCAGAACATTCGATTAAAATTCAACAGGTCTTTTCTCATTCTAACAGTTCTATTTCAAGCGTTTTACTTTGTGGGATTGTGTAAAGGGAATCTGAGCATATTTACATTCTACAAACACCTGTGAATGCATAAGAATAGCAAATAATTACACAATCCAAAATACGTATGAAAAGATTTACTTCTTACCCTATAGTTGTTGGAAGTCTAGATAAGCTGTTTACATCTAAATTGAGTACTTGTAATTGATTCAGCTGGCCAATTGTTAATGGAAGTGATGCAATCTGATTACACTCCAATTCAAGATGAACTAAATTCACCAGTTCACTGATTCTATTCGGTAATGCCTGATAGACAGAATGAAAGCATAAGCGCATATATATGTTATATAGGCTGAAGTATTAAAGTAACACACCAAGTAATAAACCTTTGTGATTATTATGCAAAAAACACGTAACTTTTCTACAATTACTTGAAAATTGAATTCGAAGGTCACAGACTAAAGTCTCCTCGTTTAAATATTGGAATCAATCTATATTATTCAATGAAGAAGGATATATTGTAATAAACACTGTCAAATATACAGTGAAAAACGTCTTGAGTACTGGTTTGTAGGGATTTGATTGATTGGTTACAGGATTTCATCATGAGCTGACGTTGGTTAGAGAACCATTGGAAAACCTGCAAGGAGCACTGGACAGATGTTTCGTCCTAGTTTGGGACTTTTTAGTAGTACGCACCCACCACCAGGGTTCGAATCCAGGACCTTCTGATTACAAGGTCAGCGAGCGCGTATACCATTAGGCCACTGGGAGCCAATCCAATACCCAGTGCATGAATTCTAACTTCTACCAATTTACGACTTAGCGCGACCGCTTTGGACCATTGGATCGATTCCCAGTGGCTTAATGGTCTGCGAAGTCGCTGGCCTTGTAATCAGAAGGTCCTGGGTTCGAACCCCAGTAGGGTGGATGCGTACTGATGAAGATTCCTGGATTATGACGAAACAGCTGCCCAGTGCTCCTCGCAGGTTTTCAAAATGATTCTTTAACCAATGTCAGCTCACGATGAAATCCTGTAACCAAAAAACTTTCTACATATTAAAATTACACCTTCAACAACCTATTGAATCTAAGGCTATACTTCGACTGGTGAATGATGTGATCAGATTTCATGTAAATATTAGGCAACTAAATATAAATTATGGCATAAAATCTTCAAGTAGCACGTCTTACCGAAACCGTAGCTAGAACAAAAGAATTGAAAACATTTATTTCCCGATACGAATTTAAAACAAGCAATAAAGGTTAATAAAGAAGGATTTAATGAATTCATCAAATTTCGGTAGAACTCGTCAGCTGAATACTCCACATACACGGATATACATATATACTTTTGAAATTACATTGGGATATATAAGAATGATAAGTGAACAAACTACACTGAAGTAGTCCTGCAGAAAAACAGGTTCGAATGTTTTCTAGGTCATGTTCAAATATACATAAAGGGAGAGAGAGAGTATGAGAGATCAAAATTAAGAAAAATTGCATTACGCTTCAATTACATCACTTAGATAAACAATTAGTCATTAGAAAATATAACAAGAATTGCAAACAGACTAATATCAATAAGAATAGTTATATTAACAATAATAATAATAGTTTCAGGATTTCATCATGAGCTGACATTAGTTAGAGAACCATTGGGAAACCTGGGAGTACTGGACAGGTGATGATGAAATCCTGAAAGCAATCAAATCCCTACAAACCAACATTTGAAAATAATAATAGTGTTGAAGTGAGTTAAGATAATCTTACTGATAAAGCATAGCTTTAAATGCTACAAGAATAATAATAATAAGAGGTAGAATAATAGTAATAATAAGTAGAGAATAATAAGTAAAACGTATTACCATGGTAGATTCAGAGTCACAACCAAAAGAAGAAAGCGAATTCAAGTGACAACAGATCTGATTCTTTGAATCAGTGTTATTCAGAAACACTACTCTCAAAATTTCTATAGTAATAATAATATTAATCGTCGATATCCTTTATTTCAAAACAGAATTCTCAGCAATCGGTACAATACGGCATCTAATTTACGTAACAACAACAAAAACATCACACTGTATAGGTAACCAAAATTGATAATAGCACCCTTTAAGCATAAGCATTACCAGTAAATTCAAAAAGTATATCAAAGGAATAAGTTAATAATGATAATATGAATAACTAAAATTTAAAGATAATAGAAATCGAGTCAGCACAAATTACAGATTAGGGGATCACGGAGCCCTTTATTCTCCTAACTACATAGTAAGTCATAGTTCAGAAGCCTAACTCTTTCTTTATCACATTGAATGCCGGTCATATAAGGTGTCCTTGAGATTTTTAAATCTTTAAATATTCCTATTTATAATATTAGAACAAGACGTATAAGCGAAGAATATTGTTTTCAATTAGATCTTCTTCAGGCTTTACTCTAATTTACATAGACCTATATATAAAAATACCATAGAGTGGTAAAGTGGCTAAGTGAACTCCTCCAACCGTTACACAAGATGGTAGTGAATCATAGTGTTAAAGACGTTTTTGAATTTATTGCTAACGTGGATGATATCAATGTAAATGGGAAGCAAATGCTTTCCTTAGATGTAGCATCGCTGTTTATCAATTTACCACTTATGGAGACCGTGGAATTCACATGCCAACAGATACTACAAAAATAGATCGACGTCGGAATTTTTTTGATTGCAGCTTGATTCCACACCGTATTTTTGGCACAAGTATGGAATTTTCAGCATGGATATCGGTAGCTGAAATTTTGCAGGCCGACCATTGATATCGGGTGTGCGTCGGCAGGGGATCGAATTCCAGTTATTAGTCTGAAAGGATTACTTTTAAGATGTACAGATGTAAGAATGTACACTTCACATTCAACAACCTTTACTACAGGCAATTCGACGGTATTGCCATGGGTTCTCCATTGGGGCCAATTTCGACGGATTTCTTTCTTGCAAAGATTGGAAATGGTTCATTGAAAAAAATAATAGAAAAAGCTGATTCTTATTTTCGTTATGTAGGTGATACGTTTATTATTCTTGATGTGAAAGCTGACAAGAATGAAATGTTAAAAAAGTTTAATGATGCACATCCATCGCTCATCTTCACTTGTGAAGAAGAACATGATGGTAGACTACATTTCCTTGACGTCCAATAGAGCAGAAGAGCGGATGGTTCACTCAAGAGAGCTGTCTATAGAAAACCTACATCTGTAGGACAATATACACATTTCCTCAATTTTGTACCAAACCGATACAAAATCAATTTGGTCAGATGCCTCACGAATAGAGCAAGACGTATCTGTGCAGATGACTCTCTAGAAAATGAGCTAGGATACACCCAAAATATGTTGGTTCAAATGGGTTATCCTAGTAGATTTGTGAGGAGACACATGAATACCAGGTACAATAAAGAAAACTGACAACATTTAAAAAGAAACAACTGTTCATAAAACTGCAATTGGATGGGGACGTGCCTAGCGAAGTCGCACATCAGAAAAAAAACTATAGATTACCGAGAGCGATAAAACGGACTTATACTGCAGCCACCCTCTGTTTGTCATTTTACAGCCGACCAATTTTGATTGCTCAAGTGAAAGATAAGCTACCTAGTTGTGCCACTTCGATGTGTATCTATAATAAATTTAGTTGCTCCTGTAAAGAAAGCTATATAGGCCGAGCAACTAGACAGCTTAGCAAACGCATTAATGAGCATCTTCCTTCATGGTTTGGAAAAGGTCAAATAAAATCCATACGAAGTTCTATTTTGGCTCATTTGATTGATAGCGGTCAACAAGTGCACAAAAATAGTGCCTTCAAAGTTATCTATCGCATTCCATCGAGTTTTTCGAACAGAATTCGAACCCGTCTTTTACACTTAGCCAAAGCTATGGGAATTCGAGAGAACAATCCTAGTCTTTGTATACAAAAGAAGTTTGTTCTACCTTTGTCTCTCTCTTGGCCTAGGTGAATTCTATTCAAAACCCTCCCACCCTTTCTTATCATCCCTCTCCTTCGTACTTTTATGATATTTATTTAAACTCTGATTATCGTTCCATTTCACCTTTTAAGATTTGACCTTATTTATTTATTTATTGAATTGTCTGCATATACACATATATTTATATACTATCTTTGTTATTCTTATCACCTGCATAAGCCTTATTATCAGTATTTTGCTATCATTATAATCTTCAAGTATTGGTTTAGTAGAGATTTTATTTGATTGCATGGAGGATTTCACCATAAGCTGACATCAGTTAGAGAACCACTGGAAAACCTGGGAGTACTGGACAGCTGCTTCGTCTTAGTTTGGGACTCCTCAGTAGTACGTGCCCACCGGGATTCGAACCCAGGATCTTCTGGTTACAAGGCGAGCTCGTAGACCATTGAGCCACTGGGACCCGATTCAATGGTCCTTGAATTCTAACTTCTGCCAATTCACGACGTAGCGCGACCACTTGGCAATGTCTTCTTCGATGAGTTACTGCCTCATCTTCAGCTGGTGGTTCTCTAACTGATGTCAGCTCATGATGAAACCCTCCATGCAATCAAACAAAATCCCAACAAAACCAGTACTTGAAAATTAATCAAATGCTCACTAGTGACTGGCCCTACTCAGGTAGTTAACGTAGGGCTCTAGTGGGAATCCGTGACCAGTAGGGTACAGCAGGTTGAAGATGAGGCAGTAACTCATCGAAGAAGACATTTCGTAGTGGTCGCGCTATGTCGTGAATTGGCAGAAGTTAGAATTCAAGGACTATTGGATCGGTTGGGTCTCAGTGGCTCAATGGTCTACGATCTAGCTCTCCTTGTAACCAGAAGATCCTGGGTTCGACCCCTGCTGGTGGGTGCGTACTGCTGAAGAGTCCCGAACTAGGACGAAACAACTGTCCAGAACTCCCAGGTTTTTCAGTGGTTCTCCAACTGATGTCAGCTCATGATCAAATCCTCCATGCAATCATTATAATCATCGTTATTAATTTCGCTCAAAATATTTACCACATTATTATTATTATTTGATCCACAAAGTCACCGTCACTGGTTAAAAATTTTTTATATATAAATCAATGTAAATTAGAGTAAAGCCTGAAGAAGATCTAATTGAAAACAATATTGTCCGCTTATATGTCTCATTGAGATTTTTCTCATACTAGTGCAAACATATAATCACTCATAATGACTCCCAGTTAGACTCGATGAGATGCAAGGGGAGAGTTGTGAATAAAGAGGGTTCTGAGAGTCACATATATATATATAGGAATTTTACCCATTTCCCACATGAGTTCAGTTGTTTGTCGACTACACCAGTAATGATCTGACTTAGGGATACACCATTTGCTTGATTAACAATCTTGAATACTCTTCGCAATAGGATATGATCCCTTTTGAGTAGCTCAGAAAAAGCCAGAAGAAAGCAATAAAGAACAATCGGTAAGATCTAAGAGTAAAAGAAAAAACTGTAAAAGTAGAGGCTGAATGGTTTCTAATTGTCTTGACTTCTCAATGTAGAAAGTTAGACAGAACACTTTCTTGGAAATCGACAACAAGACATGAGATGACCAAGAAAGGTCAGATGCAAAACCACTTCCAAGATGTTTCATGCCTAACTTCTTAGTTTCTGTTTCATTGCTGCATTCTCTACGAATATCTTGTGAATGAAAAAAGGTTCATGTGGATTACGTTTATGCCTGACATTTGGAGGGACTTAACGCGTGAGACCTTTATTATATAACCAAAAAGAACCTCCTTATTTTACTCACAAGAAAGCTGATAAGCATAAAGAGATAGAAATACAGCTGCTAAAGAATTAAACATTGATTATAGTTTATTCATAAAATGGAAAGGTAACTGGTGAACGGCTAATTTAGGGTTTTGAGTAATTCGGGTTTAATTCTGTCTTAAGTTACTGTTTCCGCACTAGCACTACCTAGCTAAGCTCCTCCTTATAAAATCCTGTAGGCTTATGCGCTTAGATGACTTCACTTTCAATGAAATCATATGTACTCATTTATTTCTGAACGTTGAAGGCTTTGCACGAATTGACACCTCACTACAACAATCATAACAGTATAAAGTATTGCAAAGGCATAAAACTACTTGAGGAAATTAGAACATTTGCTAATGTCATTCTTAAGCCTCATATTTCATCTTTCAAACTAACCAAAACATTAAAAAAAAAAGCAGAACGTTTATCGCATGAGAGGGTTTATCCGAATAAAAGATTTCAGTGTATAACGTCATCTGAGAAACTATTCACTCACCTCTAGTAAGCAGGTTATGTGAATTCTGATCTCATGAAATTTAATATTATAATCTGTATTGATACACTAATAAGGTTTATGTTTTTTTCATATACTAACAATGAACAGTGGTATACTAATGCTTGTTTTATGCTTTACTTAATGTAAAAGGGTCGCTTTAAACTAAACGATACTTTTAATCCATATGGCGTGTTCTATTAACAAGAATCTATAAATAGTATATTATTGACATTTTCTGCTAGAGCTTTGATTTGCGAAGTAATGGATTAAGTTGAGAGGAAAAAAGAAAGGGAAAATAAGTATCACTGTGAAACGAAGTAGAAAGCATAAAATGATGAGAAAAGAAACGACACAAGATACAGAGTTAAATTTCATATAGACTGAAGTTTCAATGTAGCCTTTGTATATTTTGCCATCACTAAACATCATTTTACACCAATGTGAATATTCCTGATACCAAATATCACTGATTCCTTGAAGAATAAAATTGCCGTCTTTGAAGAGAAGACGTGTAAATATTTCCGGAGGACTTTGAAGCACTAGCAGAAGGCAAAGCTAGTCGTCTTATAAGCCCTGTTGAGGGGTCGGTCAGAAGAAAAAAGCTGTCTACAACAGCTCATTCGGAACTGGCTCAGAGACTTCATGAGATAATATTACTGGTTAGCTAGCTAGCTTCAAAGTGAAAAAAAATTGTATAGACAGAAAGCATTGCAGAAAGGGTCAGTAGAATGGCCTGTTAACATACTAAAATATGAACTAAAAGTTTTCACCAAATAGTAGATAATCAACAGATTAACGAAGCTGACTAATGCATTACTTAATCGATAAGAGAAATGCATCATTTTTAGAGCAAAACTGTACGTACAACTGTTGAACTTAAAGTGAATGCTATAAAGAGTTCCAAAGCCTTCACTTAACTTAGTATTATAACACCTTCATAGAAGTCAGGTATCATGAAAATAATACTCAAATTACAATACAGAGGCGTTCTTATAAGGATATCAAAGGATTTAGTTATTTAAGTATTCGTTTGTAGGGATTTGGTTGATTGGTTACAGGATTTCATCATGACCTGACATTGAGCTATATTGTGAATTGGCAGAAGTTAGATTTCATGGAGCGGCCATTGGATTGGATTCCAGTGGCTTAATGGTCTACGAGCTAGCTTGCTGACATTGTAATCAGATGGTCCTGGGTTCGAACCCTGGTGGTGGATGCGTACTGTGAAGAGCCCCGAACTCGGATGAAACACTTGGCTGTCCAGTACTCCCTGCAGGTTTTCCAATGGTTCTCTAGCCAATGTCAGATCATGATGAAATCCTGTAACCGATTCAGTTATTCACTGAGTGATTGAGTTTCACTATAAAACTTGTCATGGAAATGCAGCATTCCGAGCTGTCACATTCTATACAGCACACAAAAATAGAGGAAAGGGGGAAAAGAGATGGAAAAGTGGAAGAGAAAGAATGGTAACAGGAGAAAACATCGGGCAGATCATAAAGAGTAAATACATTTGCGCCATTGAGAACGATTTTGAGCCACATCACCAGTAGTCCCCAGTCGTTGGGTCTTAGTGTTCCGTGAACCCCAACTGGATAGTTTACACATCCAAGTATGTCTCACACCTACTGTCAAAGACTCGATGAGAAGATACCAGGTTTTGGTTTCGCCGCCCCTAACCCCCTCCCAACCTAATCTTATGTAGGCTAAGATTGTTTATTGAGGAGGGTGATGGGTTGGAATGAGTGACACGCGTCCTAGCCAGCTCATCGATTGATTTATCCTCCTCACTTAAAATTCCAACCTCAATCTCAATATCACTCACCGTATCGTACCAGTTAAAACTGAGGATAGAACTCAAACATCTAAGGCCGAAAACATCTAGTCTTTTCCTATCTTCCGATTTCAGTGATCATATCTCACCGCTGTGGAGGAGGACAAAAAGAACTGCTGATCAGTAAACATGTCCGCCGGTTTATAACTGAATATCACGTCTACTCCTGAGATGAATTAAGTTACAGAATGTCACACGAGCCTTTTGTATTCATGCTGAGACTTCGTCAGCGGTCAAGCCATTGGAGCGGATGCAACTTCTCAGTAAGCGAGCTGTTCAACACTGCCCACCACTTCACTCACTATATTTAAACTAGGAGTCGGTTCGGAACAGTCCTGAAAAACTACCTTAAATTTGACAGTAGCAAGCCTCAAGTCAAACATACAACAATTTCTGATCAGAGAATCAGGGGACTCTGTACTTCGTTAGCGCCTTCATTTACAGGGACTGTACTATTCTAAGTCGACAAGACTACTCTCAGGTAACAAGTCAATCTATAAGTAGCTAAAGCCAGGTTCAATTCCCCTTGTATATCTATGACAGTGGTCATCCCAGACGGACACCACTGGTTACCATGTGAAAGTTCAAGTAGAGCACCTTGATTAGTGAGATGTAATTTTTCGACACTCCCCTCATAACTAAACATGTCTACCCCACCTCTCAATCGACAGAGTCGAATGCTGCCTTAAGGCGGAGAAACATACAAGTGTTGAACGCCAGCAAGTATGCCTTGGTTCCAGAATCTGTAGAAGGGTGTATCATTTATTCAACTAAGGAGTAATTAACTACTGATTAAGCAAATCCATGAATTGAAAACTGTTCAAATGCTTTTCTGGTTGAGAGCACTTAATGCGCGGATCCTTTGCAATAAGCCTATCATGAACCAATAAGGACAATTATTTACGTACAGACATGAAGTTAAGTTTGGTGCGTCGGTGGCACAGCGGTAGAGTGCTCACCGCACACGCCTCCTGCGCCCCAGGGTTCGATATCCGACCACCGACGCACTCCTCTACCTCACTAAGCCAGTACCAAGACTGGTAATAAGGGAACGTTGGCCATGAGGCTAGCAACCCTATCACGTGAAAAGTAAACACCGCTGCTACAGAAACTTCAAGCCCCTAGCTTGAAGCCACCCTATCCTCCACTGGGAACGTGAAGGAATAAAAAATGAAGTTAACTTTACGTAAAAACACCGGAAAAGATGCACTTTGTGACAGTGTTTATAAACAGCTTCTATGCTGAGAGATGAAGATATAGATGTACTTCAGCGAAGTAGATAATAATTAGTAAAGCGTTACGAAAAGGTTTAATATTTTCATACTGACTAAACCATAAGTGTCAAGCACTGGTACGAATTCAGTCATTATAAACTTAACAGGTAAAAAAAACACCTAAATCACTACCTACAATACTAAACTACTAAAGTAAGTCTCATCAGAGTCCGCGTGCAAGCAACTGTTATTGATCAACGCCTACAAAGTAACCATTTAGATAAAAACTTCGAAATATACAGTAAATCAAGTTAAATTTTAAAAAAAACAAATTACCTCTAGACGGTTACTGGTCAAATCGAGTACCTCTAGAAATACTAATTCTCCAATAGAGTCAGGCAGTTGATCAATTTGATTGTAGGACAAATCCAACTCAACAATATGCTTCAAATTTTCTATACCTTGAAAGAAATATATAAAATGGTTTAGATATATTACATCAGAGGTCGGAATATCAGTTACAAATTCATGTGTCTAAAGTGTTTATCACTAAAAAGTGAAGTTACTTCGCTATTTATTGTAATGCATCATTTGTTTGTATTTGTTCATTAGTATAGTCTAAATAGAGTTCCAAAGTACACAATTCTTGTTAAATACAAATGACCGATAATTTAGTAACCTGTTAACACTTAGCGAAAAGCAATTACAGAATGCTGCCTTAATGAAAAACTCAGAAGCAAATATTATATGAACGTCTTTGAGTTGTCTATAATATATATTTTGGACATACACATAATTTTCTTACTAATAAAAAGAATAAACATCTGTCTGAATGCACGGAAACGAACAATATATATATATATATATATATATATGGTGAGAGCAGGCTGCTAGTCAATTGGTAGACATTAATTTACGTCAATGTCTAGATCACTAACATTGGCCGTGAGAAAATATGAACAAGGCTGATTCAACAACCAATCACAACAGACTTAACGTGGGCAAATAAGATTTGCAGATATATGGCTTAATTTTCCGAGAAACCAGGAGCAACCAATCAGAAGACTGTGTTTGTCTGCTTGAATAAGCTATAATAATGTACATGAGATATATATATATATATATAAATACGTGCTGATTTCCGTAATAAAACGTTCTGTTGCCGGCCCTTGTCTTCTGTTGTTACATACTTGAATACACTGTTAAAGTCCACTGCTACAAATTATTTATAAGCATTTTGAAAAATGTAAGATCGAAATTAGGAAAAATTGCATTACGCTTCAATTACATCACTTAGATAAACAATTAGTCATTACAGAATATAGTAAGAATTGCAAACAGAGTAATATCAATAGTAACAGTTATAATAACAATAATAACAATGTTGAAGTGAGTTAAGATAATCCTACTGATAAAGGATAGTTTTAAATGAATCAAGAATAATAATAATAGTAGGTAGAATAATAAGTAAAACGTATTCCCATGGTAGATTCAGAGTGACGACCATCTCCTTTTGTATACAGAGAGCTGGTTTATAAATTCGAATTGCACAAGCCTCTGCAATTGCAAGCATCTTCTTGTTTCTTTGTTTGCTGACAATGGTAAATGACTTGACTGCGTCGATATCATGTCCGTAATCCACAAGATGTCTTGTTATTGAGGATTTTGGGACTTTGCACTCAGCTGTTTTCAACCATTTTGGCAAATGCTCCATCATGCGAGTAGACAATCGCCTTTCCGTACGACCTATGTATTTGCTGCCACAAACACATTCAAATTGATATATGCAGTTTGAAGTGTCGAGGATTGGCGACTGGTCTTTCCCAGATTGTTGAAGCACTCGCCTAATGGTGTGAAGGAAAACAAGGTTTGCAGCATAATAAGTTCTCTTGGTGGCTTTATCGAGTCTTCGTTTGACTACTTTCGGTAAATCATCTCCTTTGAATGGCAAACTGATATAGACAGGTTTCTTCGGAACTGTCTGGATTGTTTTGCAGGAGCCAATTTCTTTAAAGTATTTATTAATGAACTTCTCAGGAAATCTATTCTTAGACTGAAAATATCCTTCAGAGATTTTATTTCATGTTCAAAAGTACTGTCAGAACAAATTTTTCGTGCTCTATTGAACAGTGTTCTGACTAAGTTCTTTTTATACTGGACTGGAACAAAGCTCTTGAAATGCATGTACTGTCCTGTCCATGACAACTTTCTAAATATAGATCTTTCGATTGTGCCATCATTCATTTTCGCTAGAGAAACGTCTAGGAATTTATTAGTATCGTTTTCTTCATGTTCTACTGTGAAATTGAGATTTGGATGGCGTGAGTTGAATTTTATCAACATCTCTTCCACTTTTGATCTGCCTCCACAGACAATAAAAATGTCGTCAACATATCTTAGGTATACATCCGTTTCTTATATATGTTGCTGCAAGGTAACGGTTTATTGGGGACGACAAGAATAAGTCAGCGAAAAGTGGTCCCCAAGGGCTTCCCATTGCCACACCACCAAACTTGATGGAATAGACGCCATCGAATTGGAATTGGACATTTTTAGTACATAAAAGCTGTTATAAAGAGGCTGTTGGGCGTTGACTCAAACCATCCTGCAGTGTGCTATCTGTGAATGCATTTCAATTTCCTACGCGCACTGAAACTATGGTGGTAATATCTGCTGTATTACGAAATCTCAAGGCAAAACACCACAAGTAACTAATAAGTAACTCCACACTTAGACGTCGTAACCAGCAACACAGCTGAAGTGAACTAAGCTGAATGTTCAGTCTGGAATCTTGCAAAACATTCAGCAGTTCAATATGCCGAACTTCATAAAAGCACACAAAATGGTAAGGAAAAGAAATGCAAAGAAATTCTAATGAATGGAATTGTACGAGGTAGCGAATAACTACTTGACGAATATTGAGAATTTCAATGGATCCGTAGGATTAAAAAAAAACAGTGAATACCTTTGATTCACATTATCAATAGGCATCACTTATTCGTTTTTAATATCTTGGAGGTTGTAACCGGTGGTCTACACTTCCCTATGTATCAAAGATGGTGAATTGACTTCACGTCGTAATTGTATTACTCAAATTCCTAAAGTTAGAACAACTGCTCAAGTTAGTTTACATTCTAGATTCGACTACTAGTCATGATCAACCAAAGTAGAATAGTTACTGTTAATTTAATCCTCATAAGAGATATTTTATTTATTTATTTATTTATTTTTTTTAGTTACAGCTTGATTCCACACCGTATTTTTGGTACAAGTGTGGAATTTTCAGCGTGGATATCGGTAGCCCAAAATTCTCAGGCGAACCATATAACCTTACCCTGTCATCTTAACACTTAAATCAACACAGTATATCCAATATTTCTACCACAACTCGGACATTAAAGTATGTTATTATCATCTATATAACCATTGTAATTTCAGGTAGTCTGCAGCTGATGAGAACCTGTGAAATAGAATGATATCATTTTATACTGCAAATTTCGTCTTCCTTTCTTTATCGAAATTTATCAAGGGAACCAAATGTATGAATCCAATATTAGTATTATTTCATCTAGTAAGTACATAAGAATAGCTGGAAAACTATGAGTATAAAGTTTTCTAATAAAAATAGCATTAAAAAAATACAAAATAATTGAGCAAAGAATATCTTTTTCTATATCATTTGACGTATCTTCCTTATTCACCGATGTACCACTTATGGAGACAGTAGACTTTCTATGCAGAGGAATCATAAGACAAAACACTGATGTCGGCATTCCTATGTCTTTTATAAAACAGCTTCCTTTGAAATGGACAATGAATGCCCACCTTTTATTTAGTAAAAAACTATATAGAGAAATAGATGGTGTGACAATAGGGTCACCACTAGGACCCATTCTAGCTGACATCTTATTTTTTTTTGATTTACAGCTTGATTCCACACTGTATTTTTGGTACAGGTATGGAATTTTCAGCATGGATATCGGTAGCCCAAATTTTGCAGGCCGACCATAGATATCAGGTGTGCGTCGGCGGGGTTTCGAACCTCGGACCATGTGCATGGTCGGCGAGAGTCCTAACCACTGTGCCACTGACGACACCATGCGAAAGCAGAGAATGGGCCTTTTAAAGATGTTACTGATGAACTTGAATTCTATTGTCGGTGTACATGGACGACACATATTTGATCACTAAAAATGAGGATGAAGCAAAAGAACATCCTGGAAAAATTTAACGAGGTTCATCCTGCAATAAATTTTACTATTGTGAAAGAAAAAGACTGTAGTCTTTCATTTCTAGGCGTCATTATGACCAGAAAAGAGGACGGCACAATAGGAAGAAGTGTATATAGAAAACCTACATGAACTGGCTGCCGGTATACTCATTCTGTCAGCTTCGTGCCCTTGAAAAACAAATGCAATCTTATAAAGTGCTTGGTTCACAGAGAAAAAGCAATCTACTCAGATGGATGTCTTGGTGAGGAACTTAATTATAGATAAAGGGTTGCTGAGTGAAAAAGGTTATCCAGAAGCGTTTGTCGATGAGAATATGAATCTAAAATCAAAGCAGCCCAAGGTACCAGCAGTTCCTAAAAAGGCCTTATTCTTACAAATTCAGTTCCTCGGAGACAACATCAGCGAGATACTACCACAACGCCTTAGAAATGCGGTGAAAAGAGCATTCCCTGCTGCCAAATTATGCTATATCTTTAGAACCACTCCTCTTTTGCGTTCTTTCGGGAGTAAAAGACAAACTGCCTAATTTTGCTTCTTCCATGTGTATCTACCAATTTAACTTCTCCTGTGGAGTGAGCCAGTTACATAGGCCATACAATTAGGCGTGTTTCTCGTCGGATTTTCATACACCGCCCAGTGTGGTTAAATAAAGGACAGACGAAATCTATTCGTATTGCTATTCTATCTCATCTTGTGGATACAGAACACAAGATTGATGTTAACCATGCTTTCAGGATCATTTACCACATACCTACGAATCTCTACTTTGCCTTACGAGTTCAACTAATAAATATTGCTGAGGCTGTTGGCATCCATATTAACAAGCTTAATTTGTGCGCTCAAAAGAAGTTGGTTGGTTCAGACATTATCCTTACCTTGGCCATCTGGGTTTGAATGATCCTCAACTTTTATGGAATTTTCCTAATTTTAGTTGATATTCTAGTTGCTACTATATCTTTATCATTATTTTTATTATTTAACCATCTTAAATGAACTGTAATTCCATTGATCTTACTTTACAAGTTAATATTATTTTAAAAAAATTAATATTGTTATTGACTTCTACTCTAGAATATTCTATGTATATAAACATATATATATGCTTGTGTAGGCAGAAGAGGAAATTATCTAAAAGTTTATTCTTTGCTCAATTATTTTGTTTTTATAGATGTCTAAATGAATATTTTCGCTGTATTAAAAATATCTTTCATGAATATGTTACCTAAACATTAGGAATCATTCCTGTATTTTTCCACATCATTTATAAAATGTTTGGGACTATTACGGTAATATATCGCAGGTGTTTGAATGCTTAATTATTCATACTAGATATTTCGCCTTGATATATTTGGAACGAATCGATTGTACCTGATCCTCAGCATGACAGTACTCCCAGTGAAACTCGAAGCCAGTGTCTGTCGTTTTAAATATTACCACCAGCCAGGCCACTGATGCAGCAGGTGTGATTTCAAGTTATTTATCTATCTATCTATTTGCCTATGATTTTCGTTTGAAGAGATGGGTGTTAAGTACGAGTATCATTGGAGATACCACAACTCACTGAGTAGCACCTATATTGATTAGATGGGTCAGCAGAAAGGAAAAGACATGTGTCCTGTACTTCAATACTAAACACTACCAAATAAGTAACTTCAAGTATGGGTGAATACTTTACTGTCATTTCTATTCGTAACTCAACATTTCCTTACATGACCTTCATGAGCCTTAGAAGTCCAGTATGGACATCCTGAACCATGAAATACAAGTTGCAGCTTCTGAAAGTACATGTTCGCAGGATACAATAATTTGTTTTCTTGTAAAACTTTAATAAATATCTTGAAAATAATAAAGTATTCTCAAAGCAAGAACTACAGTTTAAACAGAATAAAGTGGTACCATCTTTTATTTCGTTGCCTTCTCGTCAGCTGCTTACTGGGCGAAGACATTATTAAATATATCTACAAAAACGATTTTAACATACTTGCACAGAGTTCATTTTAAACAAAAATCAATCGATCAATATACGCAATATACACTAATAATATATACATATATATATGCAATATTAAACACTATTCCGAACAATAATAATCATACACAGTGGAAAGTTTTCAGCATTTCGCATTCTGATGAAAGAGAGATGAAAATATCCAGTTACCAGGTAGAGCAAAGAAAGACTGATAACCGCTTCTTTCTGAACGCATAAATCAGGTTTCAGGCGCTTGATGGAAATGGCTTCAGCAAACTTAAGGAGAATTCAGATCTTGTGTCTATTGGTAATTTTGAACGACTTTGAAAGAAGCGGTTATCAGTCTTTCTTTGCCCTGGTAACTCAATATTTTTCATCTCCCTTTCATCCGAATGCGAAATGCTGAAAAGTTTCCATTGTGTATGATTATTATTGTTCGAAATAGTGTTTAATATTATATATATATATATATATATATATATAATGTTAAAATTGTTTTTGTAGATATGTTTAATAATGTCTTTGCCCAGTAAGCAGCTGACGAGAAGGCAACGCAGTAAAAGGTGGTACCACTTTATTCTGCTAAAACTGTAGTTATTGCTTTGTTCAAATTCATTAAGGAGAATAAATGTATGAAAGTATTTTCATTTGGCTCTACGTTTAGTCAGATACACTAACATGCATAGAGACACGTGTTAGCTACGTCTTGGTATATTTGCTAACGGTTTATGTTTCTGATCATTTACGATCAAAGGTCTCTCTCAATAGAAAACTTTATATCTCACTAATATGAGACAATATATATACATATATATTTATATGCAAACAACAAGAAATACCTTTAAAATCTAAGGTCATAATATTATTATTGCATAGCTTCAGTGTAGTTAATTGAGTGTTCTCTGAAAATAGACTTGCTTCAAAAGATTCCAAATGGTTATAGTCCATACTGAAATGCTACATAAAGAAAAATAAGAAAAAGGTGAAAAAACTTCATTTCAAAAAAATATTCCAAATGTATCATATATCATAATTAATATGGATTATCAGTATGTCAGTAGAAATTTATCAATGTAGGCACAATACACTCATCTACTTTTTATATTGCACTCACAAAAATGTTTATTTCAAATGTTGTTCATTAGGGTGTCTAAAAATGTGCCACCTAACGAATCTGAGCATTTTAAGATGCACTCTGAGTAACCTAAACCATAGAGATATTTTCTCAGTTCCGAATAATGCATATTGGTCAGGGTAAAAGAGAAACTTTAGCTTCTTGGATCGGTAAACAGACAAAACAGATGACCAGCAAAAATCCAGAGCGATTTTCAATTGTTCAAGGATTAAACATAAAAATGGTATCGTGGTAACTTTAAGATAAGATAAGATGATAGCTTTATTCCAAATCAGTACTTGTGATACAGAATGGAATTCTCAGCATTTTTACTACAATATTGCATCCATTTAATACATTAACAATAAATAAAATTCTACATAGATTAAGGATAATCTCGGTTAGTTTTGACAACAACATATTAGCATGTCGGCAGCAAATCCAGAATTAAACAGAGTGTTTGGAGATGATAGAAAAGTAGATACTACTAACATATTTACTGGCGTAAGCGGTAACAAAATGGTCGAGATATACAGAGTGTGAAAGAACGAAGAAGAATTCTTTTAATAAGAGTTTGTAAGGAAGAGAGAAACAAAACAGCACATAACAAAAATAAATACAGAATGAAAAAAAAGGTAGAGAGAAGACTTTGAACCTATAAATGATGTGAGTTGGAAAGACGAGATCCAGTTGTTCTACTGACTATTTAAAAATTTAAAGGTTTCACGCCTAATGCTTTCTTTATCGCACAGAACACGAGCTAGGTAGGGTATGGATGAGTTTTTGTACTTACTAGTGCGGGAATATAGTTTCCTATATAGGCTTCTAGTTTTCCCTGAAGAGAAACATAGGGAGAGTTGTGAATGTAGAGGGTGTTGTGAGTCAGATAAAATGGATTTCGCCCATTTTTCACATGAGTCCATGTGCCTGTCCACCAGAATATTAACAAGCTGGCTAAGTGGCAAACTGCTTACCCTGCTGCCAACCTTTAACATCCTTCGTAATAAGGTATAGTATTTCTTCAATAGCCCTGGAAAAACTAAGGGGGAACAATAGAGAATAATAGGCAGAATACGGGTGTTAACAAATTGTAGTAGTAAGGGTTGGGTTACACCAGAATGTCTTAACTTCTTGATGTAGAAGGTAAGACAGAATATTTTCTTAGAAATCATCAAGATATGAGACGACCAGGAAATATCAGAAGATAGAGTGACGCCTAGGTATTTAATTTCCGACTTGGTTTCAATTTCAGTGTCATCTATGTTGCACATCTCGTGAGTGCTAAGCAGTTTGTTTAGGTCAGATTTGTGCCTGAAGGTGAAATTGACTGTGTGGCATTTAGAGGGGTTTAAGGTAAGACCGTTTTCCTTGGACCATTGGCTGATTTCTGATAAGAAGCCATTTAGTTTAGAGCAGTCACTTTGACATTTGACAGGTAAAGATACAGTTAGGTCATCAGCATATTTGATAAAGTTAATGTCATTTGAAGATGGTAGGTCATGTAGAAAGAATGAAAAGAGAAGTGGGGAGAGTACAGCACCTTGGGGGACACCAGCTTCAGTGAGCACAGCAGAGGTGGATTCGCCTTTGTATATGGTGTACTGCATTCTGCTTGAAAAGTAGGAATGCAACCAGTTAGTGACCCAGGACCCGATTTGTGCCATGGAGAGCTTATTTAGCAAGCGACATCTAGGTACAGAGTCGAAAGCAGAAGTGGAGCAGAACTCATGCTTATTCATCATTATTATTCCCCTGGATGCTCACCGACTATGAAAATGGTCCGAGGTTCGATCCCCGGCCACCGACTCACTCCTTTACCTCGCTGAGCCAGAAACAATTCTGGCAAAGAGGAAAGGTTAGGCATGAGGCTAGCAACCCCATCCTGTAAAATTAAACACTGCTGCAGAAACTTTAAGCCACTAGCTTGAAGCCACCCTATGCTCCACTGGAAACGTGAAGGAACAAAAAAATAGTTACAAAATGAAGTCTGTTAACGTACACTTCAAATGAATGAAGAACAAGTAGTCACCGTTTTTAGTTGTATAACTTTTTGTATGAAAAAGTTAATACCACGTGCATTTTGATTGGACACTAATAACTAGTGTGATGTGTCTAGTCCATGATACTGGACATTCCCCTGGATTTCGAGTGATGCACTGGACTTCGACGGCACATTTGCATTTCATCTTGTTTTCTACAGTCCTCTTTAATTGATTCTACGACTTCTTTTAAGCCGTCGTCTTCTCCGTGTCACCCTTGGACCCATGGTCAACTCGCCCTTACCCACTTGGATTACACGGGAGGGCACGATCTCAACCAACGGTCTCTCTTCAGAGTGTGTCCGATCCATTTTCATTTTCTTGGGCATATTTGCCGGGCAGTAGGTTCTTGGCTGGTTTGTTCCCTGAGTTCCTGATTTGCTGATTCTTTCCGATCGTCTGTTCTTCAGGATCAAACTAGTGAAGAAAGCTGTCGACAGACGTCCGAAGTATGTTTGAAGTGCTTTCGGTGAAGCGCCAAATCTCTAAACCACCTAGAGGTAATAATTTCATCTTAGTGTTGAAAATCCTAATCTTGTTTTTTATACTTATTATAGCAGACTTTCACATTGACTTTTCAGAGTAATAAACAAGTGTCTTACTTCTTCAATCCTACATTTGACATCCTCACTGTGCCATCTGCGGTTAAAAAGATGCTGTACGAAAAAAGTGAAATAAGTACCCTCGTCGAAACTTCACCCTTTGACGGGAATTGCTGCTTGTTATTCATTGTCATTCAATGAGTGTCTTTATCTCTTGGGTCTTCTCTATGTCTACTTGAAGTCGTGGTTTTGTTACTCCTGCCCCTCCCAGCTTATTGATTTTCGCCCGAAGATCTTCGAGTTTGCACGATATTAGACACAAATGGTCCGCAAAGCTCAGAGTCTTCTTATCTAGGAATTCATTATTATTGTTACTATTTTTTCCTATAATTCCTAGAGGAACATAGGGCTTCAGCCGCGCGTCTCCATTGCCTTCGGTTCTCTGATAGAGTTTTCACTTGGCTCCAAGTCTACCCACATGCCTTCATCTCCTCTTTACACGAACTCCTCCAAGTCATTCTCGCACTGACGACAAACTCGCCGCTTCCCATTCTGTCGGGTTCCACTCGAGAAATGGCCTGTCCTGTGATGTTACTTGATGGTTTCCTCAGAGTATGGCCAATCCATCTCCATTTCTTCCTGCCTTTTTGTTGAACAATCTGTTCCTGGTTAGTTTGCTCCCACAGATCCCTGTTGGTGACCTTTTCTGGCCGGCCATCTGATCTTGAGTATTGAGCAAAGATATCTGTTAATAAAAGGTCTGTAGTTTTCCTTGTTTTCCTGGTTTTAAGGGGAGTAACCCACAAGATCGCTTCTCTGTAGACTAAATAATTTAATGTAACAACTCCCCTTCTCAGGAGTGATGCTAGCAACCCCACCATGTAAACAAAACTGCTACAGAAACTTCAGCACTATGAATCTCTTTGTGCCAAAAGGAATTCATGCTAATGGCACAGAATAACATCCTGTGTTATAAAAGTTATTAGAAAATAGGTCTTTGTTAAATTTTAGGCTTACCGACGCATTTTCATGTGGACAAAATACATAGGTCTAATGATGACGTCGTATAGGATTATCAACCAACAAGTGAACAAGACAATGATCCACTTAGTGTAAAGTCATCATCCACAAGCAACATATCATGACATACTGTGTGGACAACTAAACAAATGACATTTTGTGGGAAAATAAATATGTATCCGAAGATATCCGTTTCACTTTACATAACTAGTCTACATAAAATCCTTTTTATTACAAAACAGCATTAATAAACTTCTACTTTCTTCTACGCTGAAATTGAAACTAATATCTACGAATTGCTGGGGCAATATTACATGAATCGGAAAGTTTTGAAGCGTTATAACCTCCGTTTGAAGAACATTCAAATACTGACATAATTAATCAGTAAACTCTTATGACAGTGTAATGAAGAAATGCACAGAGCAGACAAAATTCCAGATATTAATTAAAGGATTTCATGAAACATTAAGGCCACAGAACCATCATATAGTGACTGTCCATAAAATTCTCCAATACCCCTCTCACAGCGAAATATAAAATGGGTGAAATGCAGTCATCTACGTAAGAAGCTTTCACTCACCTTTACATTTCTGTATTGTACATTATCTCCAGATGGAAAGGATGTGAAATCATTACGAGATAGTATCACTGATGTTGAATCTTTGAAATTACAGAGTAAATTTTCCTGTCCATAGAAGATAAAGATTAACATTTAACAGATACCTAATGCATAAATCATGTTACAACACTACAGGCATTCACTTTGAAGTTATCATGATACACAAAAAAACCGTAATTGTGTGTTACAGACTTGAACCCTGCAACTAATTAAAAATCCTTACCAATATTTATTAGTGATTTACAAATTTTTAAATTCAATTTTAGATTTTCCCAGTTGACTGATTGGACAGAAATGCTCGGTCTCAGGTTGCCATGTTGGCTTCTTGTGCAGATGCTTCGACAATGTCTGGCCATGTAATTAGAATTTAACTGGTGGACGGTGATTAGCAGTGGAATCCAGTCAGGATGCGCATTTCGTCCTATTTGGGACTCGTCATTTGGATGTGCCTCCATTCCCCAGTGAGTGATAATTTTCCCACCGAGGCTGGACGAGGCCCAAATAGAAAGAAATGCCCATTCTAGATTCCACTGCTAGTCAACACACACAAATTAACCTCTGATTTACAAATTAATTTAAGGTTGAGGAAAGTAAACCCTGGGCTATTTGAAAAGTGATATAACATAGCGTACATATATTCACGCAGAAGTGTCCCTAAAATCTTAAGAAAATAACTGCAGAGAATCAATGGGTTTGCAATTAAATCTCATCATGACTTTAAACACACTAGGGGAGAAATTTAGTACCGAAGCAACTACTCCTCACTTTCAGATATTGAATTTAATCAAACGTGAACCAGGGAATTTGTGTAGTATTGAATTTTAAAATTTATTAAAGTGATAAGCATTCCAATGATAAATCTGTCAAATAATTTTACTTTGGTTACAGGATTTCATAATGAGCTGACATTGGTTAGAGAACCATTTGAAAACCTGCAGGGAGTACTGGACAGCTGTTTTGTCCTAGTTTGGGACTCTCCATCAGTACGCACCCACCGGGGTTCGGGTCCAGGACCTCCCGGGTACAAGGCGAGCTCGTAGACCATTACGCGCTGTATCGTGAATTGGCAGAAATTAGAATTCATGCACTGGCGATTGGATCGAATCCCAGTGGCCTAATGGTCTACGAGCTTGCTGACCTTGTGATCAGAAAGTCCTGGTTTCGAACCCTGGCGGTGGGCGCGTACTCCTAAAGAGTCCCCAACTAGGATGAAACAGCTGTCTGGCAGTGGTCCTTGCAGGGTTTCCAATAGTTCTCGAATCAATGTCACCTCATGATGAAATCCTGTAACCATTCAACAAAATCCCTACAAACCAATACTTGAATTTTAGTTTGAACCAAACAGAAGTAAACTGACCAAAATGATTGGTGATATGAGCCATCAGTGGCATAATGACAATTTTTATTCCGTGAAAAAAATTTATTAAAAGCTTTTATAAACGATCAGGAGATTAGTGATAAATGAACGCACTTAAGTTTAAATATTTTAATACGCCTGGGGAATTTTAGAAATATACAATGCATAAGACAATGGCCTTATGTGGATGAAGAAGAAAGGAACACACTCGTCACATAAAAAAATACTATTATAATTCCACACTTTATTATCACTAACATGTGATCCTCAAATTTATGATGAATGAAAATGCTTTAATCAAATTCATCACTTAAAAGTTAGACAGTTCGTGATGAGAAACACAACACAATTTCCCTTGGTAACCGAAAATACTCAGATCGAACTATGAGATCTGCTTGATACCATAAGCAAAAATCAAGCAAACAAGGAAGCCAAATACTACTGAATTTTATGAGTAGTAGTTTGAAACCACTCACTTAAAGCAGCGATGCTTTCTAGCCAGACAGAGGTGATCACTATCAGCAATGTACCCTAACCAGTTCAACTCAGACAGCAGAATGAACTCAAACCAGTCGAATCCTGAATACCTGCTTAGTCAATAATTCTAGCTGGTTGTTATTATTATTATTATTCCCTTGCGTTCCGAGTGGAACATATGACTTCATCAACGCATCTCCACTTTGTCCTATTTTCTGCCGTCCTCCTCACCTGCCTCCAAGATTGACCAAACTCTCTCATCTCTTCCTCACATGATCTCCTGCATGTTACCCTCCCACTGACGACTCACTCATCCATTCACAACGGGATTCCACTCGAGCAGTGATCTGGGGCACGATATCATTTGGCGGCCTCCTCAATGTATTCCCGATTCATCTCCACTTCCTCCTACATATTTGTTGAGTAATCAGCTCCTGTTTGTTCGTTTGTTCCCAGCCAGAGTTTCTTGTTGCTTATCCTTCCTGATTGGCTGGCTGGCCGGCCAATTGATCTTCAGTATTAAGCCAGCCAGTGAAGGTATTTGTTGATGAAAGTCTGCAAATGGTTGTTGGAAATCCTTTTCGTGACTGACATGCAGTGCAAGTTTCTCACCCGTATATAGAAGCACTGACCAACTTCTCATTGGTGTTGAAATTTCGAATTTTGTTCGTTAAACTGAGTTAGTGCAGAAGATTTCTAAACTAGTTTCAGGTTGATGAAGGCGTATATGGCCTTTCTGATTTGGTTTGGCTTTGACATCTTCGTCCGTGCTATCCGCCTGTAGTTGAAATGATGCGTCCTAGCCAGATAAGTGATGGAGTCAACCTCTGTCAAACATCTCCTCTTGGTGGTGATTGCTGCTGGTTGTTGTTGTTGTCGCTGTTGATTGGTTATCTTCATCACCTCCATCTTCTTTATGTTCACCTGCAGTCCCATTCTTGCTGCCAGCCTCTTCAACCAGTTTGTTGGTTTCGCTTGCAAGTCTTCGAGTTTGTGTGACATTAGACACATATCATCTTATCGGTAGTCCAGCGTAACCCCCCCCAACTCCTCGTCCCCAACAGTCTGACGCATACTCCAGTCCATCACAATTAAAAAATATAATCGATGATAATAGGCAAACTTTTCTTACTCCTGTGTACACTTCAAACGCCTCGCTGAGTTTTCCGTCGTGGATCACCTGACACATGACATTGTCATACAGCTGCTGAATGAGGCTGACAAAGACTTAAGGTACACCGTAGTGTTGAATTAGCTTCTAAATTACTTCTCGGTCTACACTGTCTAGCTGGTAGCAATAACCAATGTTTAATGTAGTTTGTTTCCAAACTCTCACATCAATCCGTAGTAAATACCATCAAGCTAACATACTTTAAGTACTGAATAAATACTGCACAAAGTGTGTAGTTATAAAAACCCTGAAATTGTAGACGTCTTAATATGCAGTTAGAATCAAAGTCAACGTAAACGTTAATAAAGGTGAGAATCATAAAAAATACGAGAAAGGTATGCATCAAAAGCAGTAAATAAAGTTATCTTAAGAAAGTGTGTAACATATGAAAGAAAAACATTTCTCAAGATTATCATTAGTCATGGAGTATTGTGAAGCGAAATTTTTTTTTTTTTATTTATTTATTTTTTTTGATTTACAGCTTGATTCCACACCGTATTTTTGGTACAAGTATGGAATTTTCAGCGTGGATATCGGTAGCCCAAATTTTGCAGGCCGACCATAGATATCAGGTGTGCGTCGGCGTGGGCTCGAACCCCGGACCATGTGCATGGTCGGCGGGAGTCCTAACCACTGTGCCACCGACGCACATAAATGTTCGTATACCATGGAATTAAGAGCTGATTACACTTTCTGATATCCAGTTGGAAAATGTTTACAGCAATTTATTCCGTGATTCAAAATAACTCAATCAGTTCTATCACATTTTTATTTTAAAGTAATAAGAGACGTCAATAAAACGGTCATTGAGTCGATGTATACAGTGACAGTATACGCAAAATATTTGCCTTACTTTCCACACCGTTTGAAATACATTTGCAAGTCAGGATTAAAAGGCTTTTTCTTAGTCCGTTCAAAGTGATTTCTTATACATGCATGAGCACAACTATAGACACGACTGTGGGCGATTTAAGAAGAATACTTATCCAGTCTTTACTAGTTCAGTGAGAATACATTTTTAAGTAGGTATACATGTTGTACAAGAGAAAAAAAGGAACTTTGACTTGATACTAGTAACTAGTGTGATGTGTTGAGTCCTTTCTTTGATGCAGACTGAATTCTATCAGTCAGGTTTGTAATGTGGCCACCATTCAGGGTAGCTAGCCATCACGATGCACATTGATTTGATGATATAAGATGGTTGGTTAGAATTCAGTCTGCACCAAAGGAAGGACTAGATATATCACACTAGTTACTAGTGTCAAATCAAAGTATTTTATACACCATAGACTATTGCGAATTCAGAGACTTGAGAGTAATCAGATTAAGTTTTCAGTAACATTAAGGAATACAGCAGAAACACAGTGAAACTTGTTTAACAACTTCCTGCAGATTAGGTGAAATCCATTCATAATTGTCTTGTAGTGAATATTCAATGCAAATGGTGATTAAAATGAACTTGAAAAAGAAAACAACAATGAAAATCATAACTCGAAAAATGGGGCGGGACAAGAAATAAAGCAATATCTTCTTAAATATGAAAAGGTTACCTGTATAGGACTTAACAAATATGAGTTATTTAGCACCATTTTATTATGAATATTATTATTATTGTACCCTAGCGTTCCTAGTGGAACATAGGGATTCAACTGCACCTCTCCACTTGCCACTTCTGTCTTCCTTCTGCTGTACTTTTCACCTGCATCCATTCTATTACATACTGTTTCAACTCCTCCTCTTCACACCATCTCCTCCATGTCACCCTTGCAATGACGACTCACTCGTAACTTCCCATTCTGTCGGGTTCCACTCGAGCAGTGGCCCGAGGCGCGGCCCATGTCACTCAGTGGCGGCCTCCTCAGCCACGAGTTTCCAATCCATCCATCTCCACTTTCTCCTGCATATTTGTTGGTTGGCGATCGGTTTGTTCTTGTTTTGTTTTGTTTGTTCCCATAGTTTGTTGTTAGTGATTGTTTCCGGCCCGGCCATCTGATCTTCAGTATAGAGCCAGTGAAGACAGTTGTTGGTTGATAAAGGTCTGCAACAGGCTGTTGGAAATCT